CTACTAAATTCTTTTTCCATAATTTTATCTCAATCTACTAAAGAATTAACTTTTAATAAGGTTCATTTCAGAGTTTTTCTCTTCATTTCTTAGGATGTATATATATAATAGTACTTTAATAACTAATTCTTTCAGTGTATAAATAAATAAATATACAGTATGTTTATTATAGTACAGTTATTATTGTACAGTATGTTTATTACGATAATATATATATTATCATAATAAACATACTGTAGGAATATTTTATCATTAATATAGAAACGCTTAGCTTTCTTCTTCTTGTTTAGTTTTACCACGACAGATTTGTGGTTAAATGAAATTTGATATCATACTTTGCAAATGAGTATTAATATTCAATCACACACCTTCTTTTCTGTCAGTCTTCTCTCTCTCTTTTATTATACATACATTTAAGACTTCAAACATAACTTGAGTGCCTCTTTTATTATAGGGATGATGCTTTATATTATAGGGATGATCTAGCAGTGAAGTAAAACAATTATAATAGTACTAAATATCGAAAAATGAAGTGTAGCGCAATTTATTTTATTTGCATTATTCAGTGAAAGCTATGATAAAAAACTATGATGTAAAATGATGCAGATAATTTCTTTTCCAAGTTTCTTTTACTAATAAAGATAGCTGATAGTTCCAATCGAAGGATAATTGTTTTTGTAGACGAAGAGAAATAGTTGAAGTAAAACGATTTACTTTAGTTTTCTTGATTTTAAAATTTCATTTAAAGTCATTTATTTTAAAGTAGAAAATAAATTTCTAGTGTTATCGACAAATAAATTGTTGTTTGCAACAATAAAAAATAGTAAAAAAATGCATTTAAAACTAAGAAGCCATTAAAAAATCAGAGTTACGAAAGAGCTTGATTTAATATTGAATACTATATTTTTATTTGACAGCATAATATCCCAAATTGATTGTGAATAACTGTATGCTGTTTATGTCTAAAAAATAGCTAAAACCGCTAAAAACAAAGAAAAAAATCAATTAGTCTTATGAGCTGAATGACTATACACATTGACTGATTTATTTTCTTCTGAAAGGAGAAACTGTATCTTTCTATGAAATTTGAAAGATTCATATGTTAAATAACCTGTTATTATGATTTTGAACTGTACTATAACTTCTCCTTTCTGTATTCCTCACTAGAATGCAAATTATCTTTCAGAGATTATAAGCTGAGGATTTTGAATCTTAGACAGAGAGAGAGTTTCTGGCACTCGCGCCAGCCAATAGAATTTCGCCAGCACCATTTAAAAGGGATTATTACGGATTTTGTATTCTCTTGCAATCGATGCTTTAAACTTATAAGCCCGTAAAATTAATTGAGCCAGCATATAGCTTATTTATTTGACTGTATAGGTTTAGACTACTTTATGAACGTTTAAATTAATTTGACTGTTATTGTTTAGTTTACATCGAGACGAGAGGTGATTTATCTGTAAAACAAGTCGTGTCTTTTATGCTTAAAGTTCAGATTAAATAAAAAGGTTTTTAAAAGCTTTTCAAGTGTTTGTCATACTACTTCAGACATAACAATAACTCGCTAACTTATATAGTTGGGTTGTAGACCTTAAATTCAGTTTCCAGATCAATAGCAATCTCACAAGGTAATTCTGAAATTTTTGAGACAGGGACCGACAATATGCGCTAAAAAGCAATTATTTTAGATATGCGAATTTGTCAGATACACGAATAATAATTTGGACCAGAAAGAAAATAGACCTGAAGCTTGTCGAGGTCTGATTTTCTGCGATTTTAAAGTGAGGCTAAATCAAGAAGATTGATTTCAACGTCTACAATTAGCATATGGAAATGAGGCTACACCTTGTGTCACTGTATTCAAATGGTTTAAAGGTACAGGTTGAAGCAAGGCCCGCACCTGTGCCTCCATCCACGCATATTAGGAATCGCCAGCTACTAAGCTAAACTACTAAGCTTCAGCTCCGGGTAGCATTTCGAAGGAGAACTACATGGGAAGTTGCAGTGAATGTCTCTCAACTTTTTCCCCTGCCACCAGTCTCTCGAGAGAATTTCAACTCGCCGTGTATTTCGAGTGCCCTCTTGCTGCCCAGCTAACAAATATCCTGCACAGATAAATAACTTGCGCTTACAAATATGCAAGCAATGACATACAATGAAAGCAATGATATAGAGCAATGACACTATAAAATGTCGATAAATTTCTAAAATGGGTTTTATGCATTTCATTCATAAAAAACCTACAATTTCAAGGTATTAAGCTTGAACTACTTCAGTGTTTTTTTCTTTTTTTGCTGTCATCCAGTGTCTTGAAATCATTGAAGCTACTTTTATTTGAAAGAGTTCTGTTCAAAACTGCTTACAAAATAAATAAGGAAAACATTTATATGCATATTGCTTAATTTTCCTAAATTGTCCCACTTCTTTCATTTACACAAAAAAGTGACACGATGGAGTACCTTCCTCTGTAGGATTTTATGTTATTTAACTACTTACTATGATATGAACCTTTACTTTAACTTCTTCTTTCCGTAGACCTCATCAGAATGCAAATTAGCTGTTATCTACTTAAGTCGAGAGTTCGAATGTTTTAGAGCTAGAGCTTCTGGTAATCTCGCTTTGCAGTTACGTACTGTGGCCAGCTCTGCCAAAATTCTGTTCCAGGTTTACCCGTCTTGCTAGCCGACGTTTAGATGCCCAGCTTCTATAAATCATTTCAATAAATTAATATACTTTTATGTAAGTAAACAGTAGTAACAACTAAAAACAGATTAATTCCCATAATAAAGTTTACATTTCGTATTCATAATAACTTATACTTTTCCATGAATGCTTTATGACAGCTGAGAAGTTTTGTCCCCGCAGCTGTTAGCTCAGGAATTCGATTACTCAAAGTTACTTTCGATACACAGAAAAAAAAATTTTTTTTAGAAACAATAATTCAGAAAATTTAAGTTTATGCCACAGTAGCCTTAAATGCATTTTAAAGATATCTCGGAAATGAAGGGTAGTTTTAGGTAACAGTTGAAGAAACACGGGACTTCTTGTTAACTCAGCAAGACTCAGCTAAAGAAAAATTTTTTACCCATGTGGCAGCAACAACAAGAAGCTGTGTAGGCGATCTTGTCAAATTCATCCAGCTCCCTTATAGTTTTCCCCTCAGCGAATAGAGTAATTGGGGAATAATTCTCAAAAGCCACTTATCACTAGTGGGATCGATACAAAAATCCTGAGCTGACACTCCAGTCCGAATTAATGATGATACTCACGCACTCTGACAATCGCTCTCCCAGTGTTGAAGACATCGACAATGAGGCCCAGAGGCACCCTCTAAAATGGGTTGCATTTTAGTAGGGGGAATAGGGGATATCACTTCTGGAATAAAAACGAAAAAAGATTGATTCCCCTGCATTTGGCAATGACTGTGGGGAGGATTACCAGTGAAATATTTATACATTCTTTCATTGGCCAATAAAAAATTTGTGGAGTGAAATCATTTTGCTCAATTTTAGGCTTTAATTAAAATAAGATTATTGGTTCCGGTTTTATCGTTTTAAAAGACAGTTCATAATATTTCAGTAGTAAAAATAACTGAATTCTGAATTCATTTGATAAATGTCGTCACTAATAAAGGTCTCTTTTATAGTTTAAGCGAAACGGAGAACTAAAAACTGAAAGCGAATTTTCACCTCTATTTCTCTTTAAAAAAATCCTGTAGAAATATAGAAAAGCAATATACATACTGAATAGTAAGATTGTCCAAAAACTCATTGTTAACATTTCGTCAAACTACCTATTAACGGTTATCTATGCGTTTTATTCTCACAACAGCGAGTTAAGTTAGAATTTGGGATTTATCTACATGTGTAAATCAAATGTTACTCTTCAAACAAACATTTCAGACAACGTCGTAGTAATTTATCACTACTGAAAATAACTGAACGGGAAACGGAATTAAGAAATTTATAGAAGCTTAAAATTTATGCTTTGTGAGAATAAAGCTTGCAGGCATTAAAATATATCATAACCCCAAATTTGAGCAGCAGAAGCAGACAAATTAATAAAGTAATAAAGTTTTCATAGCTTCAAAAGATATGCAAATTAAGAGGAAAACTAGAAAATAGAAAGATTAATAATAATGCAGTACCCCCAAAAATTGTACTAATTAGGTTAAACAGCTAAAAATATCCTATTGGTATGCAGTGACACAATGCTTTCTTCATTATTAAGACAAGAGATTTTAATCACTGATGAGGCGATGCGGATATCTAGGATTAATTTTCGGATAAGGTTTACATTTTTTTTAAATAATAACATTTTCTGCATGTTATGTTTAGATAAAGATTATTTCAAGTAATATCATTTCACTATCGGTTGGTGGGGCAGACTGGTGATAGTTACCCGTGAGAAGGTAGGATAGAAAAATATCTGAAACACAATATTTTTTTTAAAAAAAGAAGGAAAAACAGATGTTTTCTAACTTGGCTTTCTCTTTCTAATTAACAAGCATGACAACATTATTCAATTGTAATTTTATTAATTAGAAATAGTTATTGATTCAGTACAATATTAGTAGCAGAACTAAATGATAGTTTTAATAAATAATGTTGATCGTGATAATTAATGTTAGTAATGTGTCAAAGTGAGATACGTTTAATATTTATCACTGATAATGAACGAAAATAAATCAACTAAATCAGGGGTTGTCAACCGGTGGTACGCAAAAAAGCAAATTATTTTTAGCTATTAAATTCAAAAATTAAAACCTCAACATTTTGACTGAGTTTTTTTCTCTAAAACTGGTAAATTTGTGCGATCTGAGCTTTTTTGAAGAGTGGTAGTGGTAGTAGTAATTTTCAGTGGTGGTACTAAAGGTTTTCAGTGTTTGTTTAGATGATACGCATTAGTCAAAAGGTTGAGAACCGCTGATCTAAATTTTCTTATGTTCATTGTGGTTGATCATTCCCTAAGCTATTCATAGCCTTGTTTTTTATTTGCAGGTATAGGAAGAATAAAGTTGCAGCAAAATATTCATAACCTCTATCATTTACAGTTTTCTCTCAGCTTGGTAAGTTTTAAGAATGCTTGATTTTTTTAAATCTTTTATCATTTCTCTTAAATCTTCAAATGTAGATTTCAAAGTACAATAAAAATTTTGTGAAAGTTATTACATGCGTTATTTATTTTAGATTGAAAACATTTATTCTCTTGAATTTTCTGATTACAAAGTGAAGTTCGGGCAATCCACTAAAAGTTGAAACATAATGGCTTGATTTTTTTTTTTTTTTTTGTTACATCCTTAGTGCGCAAGACGATTTATCAAGCATGTTAGTTTGTTAGTTTTATTTAAGAGAACTTTCAGTCAGTCTGTTCTCCGAGAATACAGCTCAAGACCAACTACCATTGTTCAGAAGCTTTATCCACTCTGTCATTGTTGGACTTTGATCAGAGGTGCAGAATGAACACTGTAGGAATAAATGTAATAAAGACATTTAACACCAATATAATTATTCGGTAATTACTTGTGATCAGTTGCGATAAAGTAACCCTCAAGCAGTTTCTAATACCTGCAATAAACTGCACATTAAAGTTAGGAATTTATACTAAATAAATACTCTATTAAGTATACTTTAAAAAATATCTTCTAACATCACTTTAGCCCAGAATAATGCAGATAAATATTTCAAATAATTACCGAAACTTTTCCAGTTTAGCATTGCATTTATTCAAGCCCTGTGACTCTAAGATGCTTTCCAATACTTCAAATATTTAATTAAAATCAGAGTAATTAGTGCATATTCAGATACTCGAAAGTAGATTAAGTCCATTAACCCTCTTTAATTCCATCTCGTCCCTTTTCTAATTCAGCAGACTTCCTTCATCTGCAACTCGTTTCGAATAATAATCTGCATTTTCTTAGTCTATTGTAAATGTTATAATTGAAAAATTCAGAATTTAAGATCAATTATCGTTAGCATCTCCCCCATAAAAAAGTTCAATTTAGCGATTCCCATCCTATGTAGTCTTCCTAATTTTATCGCTTTCGTGTGTTTTTAATTTTAACCCACCTTGTTCAGAATTTATGGGCTCAGATTATTTTTTCTTTTTTGTTTTTACTGCACACATTTCACTACTGAAGTGCATTTATCGAGTTGCATTTGGTCATCAGGTACCCGTTTTACAATAAATATCGAAAAGTTTACTCACTATTACTTTTACTGTGAAAGCTAATTTTTCGGGTCTTTAATCTTAAGCTACTCGTTATATACCTCACGCATTTAATATTGTAATGGCATAACCCAAGAACATTATTTATAGTTAAATTCATAATGCTATATGCTTTGTCTTTGTTTATGATACTGGAACTTAACATAAGACAGCTGGCGTTACAGAAAGAATAATTTATTGCAGTGCTGTATTCATAAATTACAAATTTCTTATAGTATTATAAATAATGCTGAAGAGTTATCTATAACAAAAGGATATATAAGAAAAACGGATGCATCTTCCTTCAAGAAACTTATTTGAAACGGTTAAATGATGCACAAAAGCATTCGTTGCGCAACAAAAAGGAAAATTAGAAATTTCACTACAAACATCTGAGTATATTTTAATATAATGTAATACAGGTGAGCTTTCCTTTGCTGCATGTGATTTTAATAATAAATGCTTACCTTCCTGTTACTTTAATGTGAATTAAAGTCAGAAAGATGTAAGGGAATTATATAACTATGTTAGTATTTCTTTATTGACTGACTGTTTTTTTAATAGATTTCTAATGAAGATAGTTTACAAATGTGTAGATGCACAGAAAGTGTGAAGTTTTTACTCAAGTGCATTTTGTTAAATTATGTTCAGAAAATGAACCTCGAAGTTTTAGTTATTCGAAATTTATTAAATACTTCCTTTAATAATTTGTATTGTATTCTCTTACTAAATATATATAGTTTTGAAATCTGTATTCTTAAACTTGTTTTGTTTAGCTGAAGATTTCAAATTTTGCTTTACTTGGAAACCTGCAAATAAAAGTTCTTTGGTCTTACATGAAGGAATCGGGAGACTTGGAGAGCCTTTTAAGATTCGGAATCGTACTGGAGAAAATTTGAGGAATTACCCAATTCTAAAATTAATTGATTTAAGCATATAAAAGGCTTTATTTAGAAAGTTTACGGCCATGTACGTGGCTTTCTTTCAAGGCTTCCGAATGCTCAGTTTACTTGCTTGAGAGACTGATGCGGACACAACATGACTTGATGCACAGAAGCATTCTTATTAGTTTTTATTTCGAATTTTATTAGATTACATCGCAGTTAACCCTTTAAAATCTGTTGTGTTCATAAAGATCTTGGTAAATCCGCCATTCTACTTTGTTTCCACCATACTGGAACATCCAAATGGAGTATTCAAGGCCATTGTTGTCATATAGGAACCATTTTTATATGCAATAGTTCCCTGCGAAGTGGTTGAGTTGAAAAGCCTTGATTTTAGAAAGAAAAATTCTTTCTTTATTATAAGACCAATAACAGTGATCACATGAAACTCAAGTTTTACAAACTTTATTTAAAGAATAAAAAACAAAATAACAATGTACTATTTATTGCATTCCATAGAAAGTATATATCTCATGGTGACTGTGGAGATAATAACACTCTGAGATGGTATTCAATATTTAGATATTACCAAGAAGAAATAAAGGACAATTAAGTTAAATGAATACACTTCTTGGGAAGAGTGAATTGCTGGAATTAACAAATGAAATTTTATTCGATATTTACATTACACGAATTTTACAAAGAAACTAGAAAGAACTATGGGAAGCTTCTTTTTATTTTACACTAAATGATTATAAAATGTAGGTGGATGTAAAACTTGCAAATAAATTAGTAATTTGACATTAATAAGTTTTCATTAATTAATGAATTTCGAAAGTAATTTTTAAAATATTTAAGTTTTATGCTGTTTAAAAACGAATCGAACGCAAATGATTTGTCGATTAATCAAGAATTCTCAGATAGTTAATTTGTATGGATTTTAATAACATGTTGTAATTACAGCAAGAATATATCCCCTTTATGAAGCCCAAAAGAATTAACACATATTGTTCTACACATCAGTTTCGCATTTTTTTAAAATAGCTAACTAATGCTTCGAAAACTTATCTTTTCGAATAATTTTTATAATCGAAACTGTAAGGAGAGAGAGAGTTTAACATTTTCTCCTACGAAGTGAAATAGTTTTAAATAGCGGCGCCTTCTATGTATAAAACTAGTTCTTTACCTTTTTTTTTTTTTTTTTTTTTTGTCTTTTAATATATAGTCACGAATTTTTTTCTTTTTCATCAAACTACTTTTTTTTATCACTAGAGTCACGGAATGCAAGAACTCTAATAAGTTCACTACAGGTGATGATGGGCTCACTTTTGAAGCATAATGTAATGTTAGCAATTTCTTAATAAAAATAAGCATTGTAAAATTTAGTACAAACCAAAACTCCTTGGGAAATACGGCACGCGAATGTAATTATATCCATGATATCTGCGGTGGAATGTGATTAATGTGACCGGTATAGAAGATCTTTATTACTAAAGCTTATAAGGTGTATCTCCCACTTTCCTAGCGTGCCTTCGTGGTGTAGTGGTTCTGCACACTGGGCCGGCATTTCAGAAGTCCGTGGTTCGATTCCCGGCGAAGGCGGTTGCTACTTTTTCATCTCTCCGGCTTTTTCAATTAACCTAATGTCTCTACAAGTTCATAAGAATGAAGTTAGTTTTGAAAACGTGTCACGGTTTGCATGACACAACGGTCACGGTTTGCATGCAACTTTTACTAGCATTAACATAAAGGAGTTGTTTCCCAATATACGCATAAGAAATCAGTCAATTTTTAACTAACATTTGTAAATCAAGTTACATACTATCTTCTTTCAAATAAAATATGAGTGTTTACATATTTATCTTCTCAGCATCCTAAAGCATGATGTTACTACATTTCTTTCGTAAGAGAAGAACAAAATGCATTTCATTCTTACGAGTTCGTATTATACTGAAGGGTGTGGGTTTGTAAGCTATCGATATTTATAACATTTATTTTAGCAAATATCGCTCACCTATACAGACCACTTATACAGTATTTAATATACTGCTTGTCATTTGTTTGCAAATAGTTCTAAGCCTGAATCTAAGACGAATCCAAGGAAATGTACTTCAAAAAGGAAATGATGAAAATGGTAGACTATTTTCTTCGGCAAAATGTATTAAATTTTCTGTTGAAGAATTCCAGTTTCCTTATTAATTGCACATTTCAACTTAATGCTTCAATTAAAAATTAATGATATTGAAAATTAGTCACTTAACTGAAAAGCATTACTAAAAACTATTTTATACGTATAACACCGTAATGTCATCTACAATAATTTTCATACAATAAAACCTAACCTCCCGCCTCATCATTTTATATAAATATGAGATAAACATCATCGTTTTGCAACATCTTTCTTTCTTCTTTTTTTTTTTTTTTTTTCCTTTTCTGGTAGTCCTATATTCTATTCACATCTAGTTTCTCACGAAAGTCTGTCAAATCAAGAGTTGTAACGAATACAGTAACGGTCATCGTAAATACCATACGTAAATATTATGTACTGTGATTATTGCAAGGACAAGAATAATAAACAAGAGAACGAGAAACCTGGAACTAATTCCCTTGTCACCAATCTGTAAAAATCCCACCCACTAAGCACACGCACAATGAGCAGGGGGAAATAGTAATATAATTTTTACATGTGTTACATTTTGGAAGAAAGTTTTCACTTGCACAGCAACTGTATGGCAATGGCTAAAAAGAATGATATAACTCGATGTTGCTCCTAATTTGGAGGCATATTTTATTAAAAATCCAAGTTTTCACCAAAATTAAATCTTACAATACAAGAAGAGAAGAAGAAGAATACAAGAAATATTCAAATACAATACATTAATATTGTCAGCTGATGATGGGAAGAATTTTTTTTATTTTTAAAAGAATCATTCGTAATCATAG